ATGCTTAAATACTTTGCGGGGTACAGTAAGTGGGTTTGTTGGTACAACATAACAAGTTTGTAGAACAACTAATCTGTACAAAGAAGCCTATAAAACTGCCACAGTTAAGACAAGACACCTTTATAATATCTCCCTCAGATTTTGCCGTCTCATAGAAAGACATTGGCGTCGCTGTTTTAGTTGCGTTAACTGCTATTTAAAAGCCTTTGATTATGTTAGCATGAGGCATTTGAAATACTGATATATAAGATTACGAAGCCGCTTGATTTGCAATCTGAAACAAAGACCATACTATCTATTTTTCCCTTTATTCCTAGATCTGATGTACTACGCAAACAATTTCACACGATGATCGGGTTATCTATCATAATTTTTGCGATTTTCTTATATCCAATTATCTTTAAACTTGATCCGTAATTCAACAAAACCGCCTACCCTCATAATACCCGTATGATCGGGGCCTTTTAAAAGGACTGTTTTCGATGCGTCTTCAGACAGTATAGTCCTTTCATTGGCGCTGTTTTTCGAAAAATTGCAAGTGTTTATCAATTCCCACAAGAATACCGTTTATATTCCAACATTTGTTGTCCTTCTATCGGGCAAGTATACATCTTTTGGTTACGTAGGCCTTACTGCTTGCAGTTTACTATTACCGTTTTGTTCCACTGCAAATTTTCTTTGGCGAGATTTCAACCTTAATATAGGCAGCTGATCATATAATTATTATACATTTCGCTTTCTAAATCTTGCTTTATCCGTTTTGTCTCCTCTCTTATTCTTCGTTTGACTTTTTCTAATTGTGTTCCACCTAAAATTTCCCCGTCTTTCCAACAAACGTGTTTCGGACTGCTGATGGCTGGTAAGCAGTCGGCAGGAATAAGAAGGGAATCGTGGGGCACTTTCATCTGCTCACAGCCTCGCCCTCCAATTAGCACGTTGTTAAGTAAATAGGGCCCTCAGTTGGAAGGTCTGCCAAACTGCAGTTTAAGAGATACCAGATAGAACTCTTCGATAAGGCGTAGCGAGAGCAACACGATGTCCGGACTCCGGGCGGCCGACTCTGGTCCCTTGCATGCCGATGATAGCATCAGAGGTGGTAGTGAGACGGTTTATGGGAGTGTGCAGGCATGAACAAAATTGTCGGCATAATCTAAGGAGCTGTAAAAAGTAAAAGGGCGGCTTGTTTAATCAGACCCATTGGTCAGCCGCAGGACTGATATTGTCGTTAAATTTAAATATGCGCATGCTAGAGAGAGTTGGAAATGAAATTGAGTTTGCTAACATGTAGATAACGCGAGCAATGTAGTACACTTCTATTACAGATGTGGAGAAAATTGCATAAATTTAATACAGCAGAGTATTTTGGGTTCTACTTAACTGTCAAAACTAAATATTTGTTTTTTTCCAGCAGAAATATATATACATATGCCTTATTGCAGTTAACTAGTTGACGAAGTTACGTCCATTTCATTGAGAAAAGAAATTGAGCTGAACTTGAATAAACGCTCTACCATTGTACGTCTTTCGGAGTATACGCCTATTTTTCGCAAAATAGCATTAAATTAAAACTTATAGGTGAAGACTAACAGCTTAGCGGACAAGAAATAAAAGGGTACTGTGACCTATTGCGGACCGCTGTAATTTCTACAGATCACGGACTTAGGTGCCAAATTCAGTCTTCTTATTTTATCCTTTAAACAGACGCGGCAGCATTTGTTGGCACCCGAAAGGTCTCGACTACTTTTTGCTGGAATTCCATCACTCCACTATTGAGATCTGCGCCAAGCTCCTTTCTG